TGAGTTGCCCTTAAGAAGCTTGATGTCCTCCCACCACAAGTTGAGACGACCGCCCAACATCATTCTTAGATCTTCTCCATCGTCTGAGCCGTACATCTTGGAAATCTCTGTCCGAGACGTTCCCATCTGAACAAGAACCCCACATTAGTTCCTTTGACCTGAAAAGTCGGTAAGATAATGGCCCAAAACCTGTAAACATTCTATTAGTCTACATACTTTTGGGGTCCAGCCATAAGTGGAGCTATCAAGGCCCGTACAAGAGGTTATAATTATAGTTTCTCTACTTGTATATCCCACTTATCGCTACGCATGAACCTCCAAAGGCCAAGGTTTCAAATTTCAGGGGTCAAGGCTTTACGGCTTGACAGGTTTCTGGAATAGTGGTAGTTCTTCAGTGGCTCGGGCTTCGAGCTTCAGGTTCAACGGCTCAGCGCCTTTCTTTCCGACACGGTTTTTGTTTTGAGCTCCTTTTTACGGCTGCCGAATCGTCTGAGTTTAGGGCCTACCCAAAGGCCCCAGAGTAGTTCCTTTTTGGGGTTCGTATATAGAATCCTATAAGGTACTCCCAAAAAGGAACTACTATGGGGCCTCCGGGTAGGGCATAAGCTCAAGCCTTTCGTGGCGTGGCTGTGGGTGATTTTGGTGCTCCAAGCCAACCTCCTCCTTGGGGCCAAGGCCGCAAAAACCTAATATAGGGGCCACAATAATTCGAATAGGGTTTTGGGGTATATTATACACCCATCATAATTCGAACCGGGTTTTGGGGGGGTATATTATACACTATCATCACAACAAGGAACTCCATGATAGTATTGGTAGTTCTTGGGGCCCGAGTGATACGGGCCCTGACAAGGAATTTGACGGCTTCTTGCGCGATTCCGACCCCCAAGTCCATGCCAGGCTTGAATTTCTAGCCTACTTGTCGGGTATCATGGGGAGCTGAAGGTTAACCCTTTTTGGTTATATTGGGGTTATATAGGGACTATACTACCCACCAAAGGTCAAAGGATACCTACTCTACTACTAGGCTAGAGAGTATCATTTAGGTCCTGTAATTATGGTGCAATTAAGGTGTTTCGCCACGGATGTCCATCTGCCCCTAAGCCCTAAACCCGCCTGCACCGGAACGCCAGGATCGCCTGTGCTGCACAGGTAGTGGGGACTCAGCTCCCAAATTCTCAATATGCTCCCTAAAGGCTCATACTCTATTTCTGTTGGGGTGGCTCCTTTTATCATAAAGCAGATGCTAACCGTAAAACTAGGACCAATGCTGCATGGTTGAGCTATATCGGAGATTCGAAACATGAAGGACTCTGGTACATGCCGTGAATAGTGACTCGTGGGTGCTTGTAAAGGAGCAACACCTTGTGCAGTTTTACAGAGTGTGTACGCAACCGTGTCAAACCTTTCTTGACAAAACTGTTGAAGCCCAGCCAAGCCTCCATAGAGCACTATAGCACCGTTCGGAAACTCTCCAATACCGGTTCAAACCCATAACGCCTCGGGCTAGGTACATCAAGCTGGGCATGTACAACGTGCAACCTAAACTAAAACAAGAGACAAGGGATTGCGTAGGGTCTAGCTTCCGGGGAATCCAGACCCTGAAACCGCCAACTTTGCCCCTAAAACCCAGACGGTCTGAGGAACGGTGTTTAGGGTTTACAGTGAACCCCAGATATTGGAACATCGATTCAGGATGAATAATGCCTGGATTCGCTTTACTTTACGTTAAAGGCCGGAGGGCAATGATGTTCCAACTTTCTGGCTCCTCTAGGGGTTTAGGGTTTGGAGTTTAGGGTTTCGGGTTTTTTCCTGCTCCATTTCGGTGTAACCCACCAAAAAGGAACAACACTGCCGACTACAGGTAGCTTTGTGTTTTGAAGGATATTTTAAGGGCCTTAATTGCTTGAACAGGGTTTAGAAGTATGTATGTAATAAGGAGCCGCAGGGAATATTCACAAATACTAGCAGTTATTCTGGCTTCTACGTTACTGCGATACTGCACGATACGACGGCACGCACGCTAAACTCTAATCACCCCTGAAGCTTGCAGCATCTGCGTGAACAACAAACCAAACTTTCCAATGCTTTACCACCCAAGACTCACACACCATGGATTTGTGCCACTGGGGCAGCGGCTGCTGGCATCATCGTCGCAGCTGTTGTTCTGAACCCTGGTCCGCAAGGGCTTAGTGCATTCCGGGCATCCCGACCAAGTGCAAGACGCTCCAGCCCAACACCAAACAGTGAGACGTACCCAAACCCCCGGGAGGATCCAAAAAGTAGATCCCTTAATGGGGGCTCCTATAAAGTACCCTTAGTAGTATAGGGCCCCAGTTTAGGGGATCTACTTTCTAGATCCTCCCGAGGGTCTGGGTATGCAAGCTCATTCCGAAACAAACTCAGCGACCGGTGGTTGTGGTCATTAATGTAAGCGCCTCAATAATTAGAACAAGGTTTTGGGGCCCATTATACTATAATTACAATAGGGAACCCCCAACATTATTGGTAACTATTAATTTAGGCCCCTATATTACTATCCCTTCTAGCATTTCCTCTCTCTCGCTCTCTGGGTCTCTCCGTTTCCGAGTACGCCTGCCTGCATCTGCATGCAGACATGTGTGCATGTTTTGTGCATGCACAGGGTACATACCTGCAGGAAAAATCAAGGTTGGAGACTCTCAACAAAGATGTGCCAAGACTCGAACCTCTCCCTCAAAGTGTGTGGCCCATGGCTCTACCGTACCCGAAGCGCCACACCTCCAACGCCAAACCTAACCCTACATCCCGGAGCCCTACACCACCTGTAAACAGCAACAACCTAACCCTCCACCCCAGCACAAAAACTCAAAGACAGTCAGAGAGGGCGCGCTTAATCCCCGACACGGTTGAAACACCCAGTCCCCGACAAAGAGCGCACCACCGCCCGACAAAAAAAAACCCAAACTCACGACAAAGAACGTTTCGCATGAGTCGTGCTTTGTCTCTCACAGGATTTCTTCATACCCGGGGGATTTGGAGTTCCTGTCAAGGGCTTCAGATCCAGGGCTTCAAGGGCTCCTCGCAGAGAGTTCTGGGCTTCGCACTTGTCCAATCATCCCAGAGGATCTACAGGCTGACGTTTGGGAATATAAAGAGATCTTATCTTGAATTCTCTGAGCACTGCGCAGATTACCAGTAGCGGGCAGAAGTACTAACATTCTCACTTACTCTTAGGGCAATTCAAAGGACAGTGGTCTTAGATGGGTTCTACGATATCGTCATTTAAATCCGCTGTCTTTTGAAATTTGGGAAGTAGTAGTGAAGTAGCGGTGGTAGTAGCCATGGTCGCAGTTGTGAGGTTTAGGACAGGGAACAGCCGTAACATTATCACCTACTCTTAGGGCAATTTCAAAGGACTGTGGTTTTAGATGGGTTCTACGATATTGTCATTGCACTCGCCTGATTTCCGCACCACCAAGCAATATCTCTGCTGAGCATCGCTTACCCCGTGGTCAGTGAACTGGTAGAAGCAGGGACAATCCTGGTGCCGGGAAGCACTGCGCCACTGTCCGCGTGGTGTCTACTGGCGAAAGACGGGGTATGCGAAAGTCTCCCACATTCTCGCCACTCTTTCTGCACCACTGACGTGCGGCTTCTCGCACAAGCGTGCTCAGTGGCACAGGGAGCTCGTCAGGCTCAGCGGCAGGCACCAGCCTGCCGCTGAGCTCCCAGGTCTCAGCCAGCGACCATTCATGGCATCTACGAGCCATGGTCTGCTACGGCGTTGCTGGTGGGGTTAGAGTGAAGGAGCCCTCTAGGGTGGAAGTTGAGGACCCCTCGAGGTTTACAGTTGAAGACCCCTCTGGGGTTAAAGTTAAGGACCCCTCCACGAGCCGGGAGCTGAGCCTCGAAGCTGAGCCATGATAAAACATTGTTGGGCAAGTTCTGCAACATTCGCAAAGATTGCCTCTACAGTTGAAGTACACTAAAACCCCAAACATCATCGGGGACTGGTAGGGCAATGTCAAAGGACAGTGGATGTAGATGACAATATCGTAGAACCCATCTAAAAACACTGTCCTCTGAAATTGCCCTAAGCCCTGAGAGTAAGTGAGTGACAAAAATCATGTCGGTGGTAGGTGGTTTGGAGTCGTGGGGTCAGACGCTACACAACAAGGAACAACGACTGAAATGGAATGCTATGATGCTTGGCATTCGTTAAAGAGAGGGCAAACATGAACCCTAAGACCTTCCAAACACCTCAACCAGACGTTCAACCCTGAACCCTCAACCCCTAAAACCCTCAACCCCCCAAACCCCTAAACCTCAAGCCCTAAAGACCTAAAGCAGCCTCTCTGTAGCCTTATGAATGCACTATGAGCCTCGGTTCCGTGCCAGGGCAAGGAACGTCCTCGAACCCAAGAGCTGTGGATTTAGCATGCAGGCTTCAAAGGGGTTTAGGGCTTACGGGGGTTTTATTACATGGCGTTGAGGCCGTTTAGGATTTAGGACCAACAGTACCGTTGGATGAGCGTAAGTTCTTGCATGTTCGTACACATCCACAATAGCCCTGCTCTATGACTCTATGCCACTGCCTCTGACATGTAGCTTCACAACCAAAACCTGCATCAACCAAGGATCGTGGAAGGGCTTCGGCAACCATTCGTCACCTGTTGTAATATAATGCAAACAATGATTACATAGACTCCATAATATCCTCAAGTTGGATCAACCCAGAGACGGAACCAGTTCTTCGTGCCTGATCGTAGAAGGATCGGGGTTTCGGGCTTAAGGCTTAGGGCTTAGAGTTATTAGGGTTTGGGGGAAGGCACCGCATGAAGGCTTCCTTTTGCCGGCCAGTGCAAGTGTGGCTCGGATTCGATGCTTTCAGCTTCGATTTAAGCCGAAACTGCAACGGGCTTGGAGTTTCCCAAGGCCCAAGCAAGAAACCGAAAGCTTAGCACGCTCTAAGCTGTGGCCCATAAACCCTCAAAGCCCTCAAAGGGCAGCAGCTCTAATTAAGCCACCGGGGCGGGCTCACCTTTGCTCGTTTCCACAGCAACACCCACCGGGACTCCGACAGTCGTGCCAGTAACTACTCCTGTTGAAGGTTAAGGAGTCTGGGGCTTGTTAGGGTTTAGGGTTTTCGGGTGGAGACTTCAGAGCTTTACGGCTGAGGGCTTTGGAGCATTGGGTCTACAGGCTACAGGATTTAAGCCGTAAGTAGGCTGTTGGCTTAGAGTCACCCTGCAGTCTATCGGAATTTCAAAGGACACAGGCAGTTGTGTAGTAGGTTCTTGCTCTACGAATGACCCTAAACCCCAAACCCCTAAACCCTTAAACCTTAAACCTCTGAGCCCTAAATGTGAAGCCCTGTGGAAATCATGTGGCATATGATTATCGTATCCTGTCATCCTGATTGTTTTGCTGTTGTTTTACGGGCGAAGCACTGAAGCTCCCTCTCCCGACTCGCTGCAGGCCGACCCCGACGAAGGCTTTTGGATCGAGCAAAAGAGCACCACCCGCAAGGCGGGGCAGCGCTGCTTTAAAGGGGTAGCCCCCTCCCGTAGTTTCCTTTAGGTCGACATTGGTAGCGGAGCCTAAGTGCTCCAGTAGTCCTCCGTAGTGTCTTGTAGTGCGATGGCAACACCGGATGTGGCACCAGCTAGTTCGGATCCTAGTGACGTTCATGCAGCGGCAGAACACCAACAACCTACTGTCAACACTGTCGATGAGTTCGTGAACAGCCCGGGCGACAGACCGGGAACTGAGTGGGAATGGGATCCCCACTCTTGGGGAGATTCAGGATGGCGACATGATGATCGCTGGGGCGATCGTCCATGGCGGGGACCCCCGTCCTGGAACAGTGGACGTGACTACGACGACTACGGCAGACGCGCCAGTTGGGACACCAACTGGGAAGGAGTGAGCACCGAGACCACGGCCTCTGCTCAAGGAGGAAGCTGGGGACATCAAGGCGGACGTGACGATTATGAAGAAGAACCCCACGATCCCTGGGCAGATGGTCGAGATGGCGCCCCTCGAGGTCGCGATTCTCGGCACCATCAGCGAGATGGTTCCTGGGCCGAGTATGGCCAGGACCGCAGCGGCTACGGTGACAAGCAGGCTGTTTGGAGCGGATGGAAGCACTACGCGAGTGTGCATACGACCCGCTCCGAGGACAATTGGTCGTCGGGCGAAGTCGGAGCGAAGGGTGGAGGACGGCCTTCCGAGAAACTCGCCGTGCCGGTCTTCAGCGGCGAGGACGGGGAGGACGTGGGCAATTCTGCCAGGTCGTACTTGAGACAAGTGGAGGCCTGGCGCAGATTGACCTTGCTCCCACCCAATCAACAAGGGCTAGTACTCTACAGGCACCTTACCGGAAAGGCCTGGGTCGCTGCAGAAGAGCTCAGCGTAGACCTTTTGGGGCGTAGCGATGGAGTTCAGTATTTGATCGAGTGGCTGCGAGATCGGTTTCTGGATTTGGAAGTGACGCGCATCGGCAAGGCTTTCTCCGATATGTTCAGGAAGTTGAAGCGCCGCTCCGGACAGTCAGTCCGGGACTACAACTCCGAATACGACCGGTTGCATGCCAGGCTCCGCGAGACTGGATGCCGACTTCCAGAAGAATGCGCCGCTTGGCTTTATGTTGATAGACTCAACCTCGAGGAGGGAGCCGAGCTCAACCTCCTCGCTTCTGTGGGCAACGAGTACTCGCTTGGCAAGCTCCAGAAGGCGGCCGTCATTCAAGACAGGGGGCTTCGCAAGCCTTGGGAGGGCTCTCATGGAAAGGGCGGCAAGCGCCCTTACACGGCACACATCACCGACAACGGCGACGATGACCAGCAGGAGAGCGGTGACGAGATCGAGGGCATGGACGATATCCCGGAAGAGGTTGCGGTTGCCTACGTCACCTACCAGAGCGCCAAGAACAGGTACCGCGACCAAGTCCGCAGCCGGGGATACCAGGGAGAAGCCGCTACGGGCAACTCTCAGGGAAAGGGAGGCCGCACTGACGATTCCACTGCCCGCGATGAGAAGATCCGCTTGATGAAGTCACGCTCTTTCTGTTCGAGTTGCGGGAAGAAGGGGCACTGGCATAAAGACAAAGAGTGCCCGAACAACGCCAACGGCGGGACCACCGATGGACCCAAGGATGTGAAGATGTGCAACATCATGCCTGCCCAGGTACTTGCTCTTCGACATGTGGGTGGAGCTGGCGACCTTCTTGCCATCACCGACACGGCCTGTGCGAGGACAGTAGCAGGGATGCAATGGGTGCAGGACTACATGGATAAGCTGCCCCCCGAGTCTCCCAAGCCTAAGCTCCTCCGCGAATGTGAAGCCTATAGGTTCGGCACTGGCAAGATCATGTACTCCTCCTTCTACATCGTCATCAGCTTCAGGCTAGGGCATGAAGGTTGTTAGTCTTCGTACCTCGGTCATCAACGGAGACGTGCCATTGCTGATCTCCAAGACGGTGCTCAGCAAGCTTGGGATGATTTATGATATCGAGCAGGGTACCGCGGACTTTACAAAGATCGGTTTGAAAGGTTTCGAGTTGCTGTCGACGGCCTCGGGTCATCCAGCACTGCCGATTGTCCCTGTAGCCACCGACGGGGCCGATGATTCAGCCCTGCCCGTGGAGGAGCCTCGACTCGAGTTGCGTGGAGCATACACAGCGTTTGCGGTTGGGTTCCAGAGTAGGGCTGCACACATGTACAACATCTACCACGACAAGAAGTTAGATCCAGCAGTGAAGAATATGCTTACCCAATGTCGGTTGCCACGTGAAGCTTTTATGTCATGGTGGAAGCAATGTCGTGTGCCTGGTGATTTTTGGATTGAGACAGAGTGTTCTTGGATAAGGATTCACCTCACCCCGAGAAGATCCTTGTTTAATCCTGCTATGTGGGGGTCGTCTGCTGCTCTTCAGAAACAGATGCTGCTACAGAGCGTTGGAGAGATTAGGGTCACTGAAGCAGTGTGTTGCTCCTCAGAATGCTGGTTAGAAGACGTCGTTGACACCTTGGATCGGCACGCAACCTCAGAGTCGACCTTGTCGCTGCTCTGGATCGGAAGAACAGTCTTGAACAAGCGACCTCAGCCCAGCAGCGCCTTTCCTTCCTCTCTGTGCCTCGATGGACCAGGCGGGATGCGAGCAGGTCGTGCCGATCAGCCGGATGACCAAGACCCAACTCCTCGAGGAGGCGATGCGGCTGGGACTCACTGTCCACAAGACTTGGTCCCCCGAGGAGATCAAGGCCATCATCATGGAGCACCGCGAAACCCTCAACCAGAAGGACGCCACGGTGGTGATGAAGAAAGTGAGCCAGCTCACTTTGCCGGAGCTGAAGAAGAAGGCGGAGTCCCTGAACATCGACTTCCCCTCCAACATCACCAAAGGCAACCTCCTGCGCTTGGTGAGGGACTCGCTCAACACCCCGGACAACGAGTTGATGAAGATAGGCCGCTACCGCGGTCGGGAGTTCCGGGAAGTACCACACAACTACGGCGTCTGGGCCATGAACGAGATCAAGACGAGCGGGAATGCGGACGAGGAGCTCGTCCGTTTTGCCCGCTGGTTCGAGATGAAGCAGAAGAGGGAGAAGAGCTACGTCGACAACGACTGCTCCAGCCGCATGGACGGGCCCTACCCGAGGACGGAGAGTTCAGCAGGATCGTCATGGCAGGGAGTTTGGGAGGACGCGATTCCGGTGAGGACAGTGAACATGGGAGAGAAGCCGGGACGCGACCGGCCAAAGAGGGCGACCACGGAGATCGACCACGCGATCCCCGAGCGGAACATGGACGACGAGCCGGACGCCGAGACCATGGACGAGATTCGCAAGCTCGAGACCCGCCTGGCCATCCTCAAGGACAAGGCCAGGACCAAATCGGGCAACTAAGGGCAAGAGGAGGAGCAAGCGGACGTCGCCCTACGAGCGACATCTGCTGCGGGGATCCTTTTGATGCCGGGAGTGAAGTTGTCTGGGAAGCGGATTTCGTCAGTGCAAAGGGGCGCTCGGCTTGTGTTCTTGCTGTGGACAAGATGCAGGCCGGTGACAAAGAGCTCAGTGTTGGTGAGCTGGCAGCCAAAGAGGCGTGCCAAGCCGGTGACTTCTCCTTTGAAAAGTTCCAGGCGCTCCTCGACCTCGCCGACTTTAAGCCCAAGCGAAACGACCGAGGAGATCCTTTCGTGAACGAGGCCGGAGACAAGGACCACGCCTACTACACGTTCGGCCTGTTCACCCATGGTGGCGTGCAAGGGGTCACAAGGCTTACTTTCGAGAAGTCCCACCTCTGCCGGTTCGTGAACGCTTTCGCAAAGGTCCACCTCGGCGCGGAGGCAACATGGACCTCCTTCACATTGAGCCGCGACGTCAAGGCCGGGATCCACCACGACTACAACAACTTGCCTGGCAGCTTCAACCACAGCTGCAGCTTCGGCCAGGATAAAGGTGGGTTCCTGTGGATTGAGGACCGCGACCTCGGCGAGGACGAATGCCACCAGCAAGGGGTCATCTGGAAGAAGACCAAAGATAAGACCTGGTTGCCCGGGATGTACCACGACACCTACCACAAGTTCGTTTCCTTCGACCCACAGCTCAAGCACTGCGTGACCGAATGGGAGGGCCATCGCTGGTCCCTCACGCTCCATACTACGCGCGGATTGCCGAAGGTTGGGAAGGAGATCGTCGATTACTTGAAGAAGGTCGGGTGCCACGTGCCAAGGGCGAGGTCGACGCAGCGAGGAGCCGGGGCAGCCGATGGAGCTGTAAGACTCCCCAAGAAGTCGGTGCGCAAATCCCTGGCACACTCTGCGGTCAAGCTCACTCTGCTCCTCTCTACAATGGTGGCAGCAGCCTCCTCGTTCATCACGGAGGCCATCCCCCCGGCGGTGCACGACCCTATTGTGATCTTCGAGCTTGGAGGCACCGACGCCACATATGAGGCGGTGGAGCTCGATAAGTCCGTGATGGAGCCGATGCATTGGGAAGAGTTCAACGACCCCGACAAGGTGAGCAATGCTTTCGATATCGTCCAAGGGATCACCCCGAACGAACTCAGAGTGAACTTGGACGCCATGCCCGAGCACCTCTACGACGTCGTTATCGAGTTGAGCAGGGATCAGATCTACGGAGGAGGTGATGTTGTGGTGCGAGGAAGTAACATCGACAAATTCAAGGAGAAGTTCCCGGACTTCCAGAAGTACGTTCATTGCGATGCTCATGGTGATCACTGGGGCATTTTCGGAAAGGTCAAAGGGAAGTATAAGCACAACACCTCTGTCCCGAGGCCTTACGAAGTTCATGCAGTTGATCAACCACAACCTTCGCAACGACCACTACGACTGGATGGCAGCGGCATCTCCTTCGATAAAAGCGTGCCTCCTCGACTACAAAGCGCCTTGCGGCGCCTCCACCAGAACTTAGGTCACCCACGGACGGAGGACCTTGTACGACATCTACGACTTGCTGGGTGTAGCGAAGAGACTTTGAAGGCTGCAAAGGGGATGCAGTGTGAGACGTGCCTCAACACCGCCGGGCCAAGGATCGCGAGACCCTCTACTATGCCGCGGATGCTGGACTTCAACGACTGCGTTGGCGTGGACATTCTCTACCACCACGATGTTGACGACCAGAAGTGGAGTTTCCTCTCCATGGTGGATTGGGGGACTTCCTACCACATTGTCGTCCCCCTCTACGGGCACTCCGCCGAGGACATCGAGGAAGTGTTCAACAACCACTGGCTCACACCTTTTGGGCCGCCTTCTGCCGTGTCTGTTGACTTGGAAGGAGGAGTACAGAAAGGACTCCGACGGCTTTGCGATTGGCACTCCATTGCGGTCAAGAACGTCGGGACCCAAGCTCACTGGCAGGCCGGGATCACGGAGCGCCAAGGCGCTTGGTGGAAAAACATCTGGGACAGAGTCTGCCACGAGATGTCCGTTGCTGAGGAAGAGATTGAGTTGGCCGCTACGTTGGTTTCCACCGCAAAGAACACCTTGAGGCGGAAGTGTGGGCACAGTCCTGTGGAATGGGTTTTTGGTCGTCAACCAAGGATGCCAGAGCACCTCGTCGACCCCGACTCAGGTCAGCGTGTTAACTGGGAGCTCTCTGAGGATGCCAAGTTCCAGCGCGCCCAGGCTATCAGAGCATCCGCCAAGATCGCCTTCCACCGCTCGGAGGCGGACACCCGGTTGAAGAAGGCGCTCCTGCATCGCGCGAGATCTACTACCAGGCCTTTCGACCACGGGGAACCGGTGCATTACTGGTTCAAGCCTAAGGACCGACGTCGTGGACGCTGGGCTGGACCCGCCGTTGTGGTGGGACGAGAGGGCGACAACTACTGGATTTCCAGAGGGGGCCGATGCAGGCTCACAGCCCCGGAACACCTACGGCCGTCAGGACCCGAGGAAGTGGGCGAGTTCTTCCGCCTAAAGGGGGCGCAGGCCGAAGTCGAAAAGCTAGTGCACGCCGACTTCGATGCGGAGGAGACCTTCGACTTGGAAGAGGACGACGCCGAGATGATCCCCGACGATCACCTTTCCGACTATTCGCCCAGTCACTTTGAGGAGACCGAGCACCCGATCGAGCTACCAGAGCTCAGTGACATGGAGTTGGACGAGGTCGAGGACGAGCAAGCTCTACCGGTCCCTACGCGGAGGCTTAAAAGGAAGACCAACCCGAACGAAGGCGGGCCTACAGAAGCCACTCCGAGAAGAAGACCGCCTGCCCCTGGTGACGGAGCACAGGTCCTCATGATGAAGCGTGACCTCACGCAGCGGGGTGTGGAAAAGAGGCAAGAGAAGGAGTTACGATGGTCCGAGATACCCGACGAGGTCAAGGAGAAGTTCAAAGAGGCCGAAGTCCAACAGTGGGAGGAGCACCTGTCCTACGATGCTCTGGAGCCACTGGACGTCAACGAGAGCATGCGAGTCCGACGCGAAGTCCCCTCCGAAAGGATCTTGCGATCGAGGTGGGCCTACAAGGACAAGAACTGGGCTAAGCGAAAGCAAGGGCAAGACGTTCCGTGGAAGTGCAAGTCCAGGTTGGTGATCGCGGGACACCAAGATCCCGATTTGGGGGTCACCGGAATCACGACGGACGCTCCTACACTATCGCGTCCGGCTCTTCTTTGTCTGCTACAAGTTCTTGCCAATGGCACAGCGAACGCCGACCCGTGGGAGGCCGCAGCCGGTGACATTCGATGTGCTTTCCTGACGGGAGGGTATCTACAGCGGGACCAGGAGCTCTTTCTTCACCAGCCTACCACTGGCTTCGCTGGGCTACACCCTGACCAGTTGATCAGGATAAAGAAGAATGTTTTCGGCTTGGCGACCTCGCCCCACGAATGGTGGCAGGACTTGCAAAGTGGCATGCGGAGCATCGAGATCCCGATCGAGGGCGAGTCCTACAAGTTCGACCAGTGCCCGTTGGACCCGTGTGTGTTCGTTTTGCGAAAGTGGCGTGACGGGAAGTTCATCGGGAAGCCGCTCGGCTACGTCGGCACTCACGTCGACGACCTCCTCACCATTGCCCCGCAGAGCATCAAGAAGGCCATCTGCGACGCGCTGTCGGCTACTTTTCCGGTCGATTCCTGGGAAGAGCAGGTTTTCACCTACGTGGGAGCGGAGATCAGCTACGATGAGAACGGTGCCTACATGAATCAGCGCGCCTACGTTGAGAGCCGGCTTTTCAAGACCGAGATCCCGAAGGGAGTGGCGGATGATGCCCCTGCCGATGAGGTTGCCCTCGCGGACAACAGGAGCTTGGTGGGTGCATTGTCATGGGTGTCGGCGCAAAGCCGACCAGACATCACCTGTGCCGTGTCAATGTCGCAACAACTACAGAAGGCCCCAACGTATGGCGACGTAAAGTTCACCAACGGGATCGCCACCAAAGCCGAGGACCACAAGCACCGCGGCCTGGTTTTCCGACCGGTGGACGACGACAAAGCCGTCTTCTTCACCTACCACGACGCCGCCTGGGCCAATGCCTACGAAGGAGAGTTCGACGAAGACGACTTCAAGCTCTACCCCGAGGACCTCGAGGCAGGGCTGCAACGTGACGGACCTCCGTCTCATCGTCGAGGACGAAAAGCCAAGCGGGACAACTCCAAGGTGGCATCCCAGCTCGGGGAGCTCATCCTCCTTGGCACGGACGACTCCTTCAGCAAAGGTGGAGGTCATGTGTCCATCCTCGACTGGAAGTCAAGGGCGGGCCAGAGGGTGTGCCGCAGCACTTTCAGTGCTGAAACGCAGGCATGCATTGAGGCCCTCGAGGGGGCCCAGTACATCCGCGCCTGCTACGAGACCATCCTCAACGGCGAGATGACGAAGGTCGAGGATGCTAGGATCCCATTGGTCTGCCTGAGTGATTGCCGGTCCTTGTTTGACCATTTGCACCGGCAAGGAGTCCCAAGGACACCTTCAGATCGTAGGCTTGCAGTGGACTTAGCAGCGTTGAGACAGGCCTTGAAGGCCGAAAGGTGGAGCGATAAACTCCCCCTCGCTTGGATTCCAAGCGAGATCCAATTAGGTGACGTGTTGACAAAGCCGCAAGACCCCACGAGTTGGTGGGACATGATCACCAAGCGGGTTTTCCTTCCCATTTCGGTCGTCGGACCCCGTGCTAAAGTCAGCACGAATACGGAAGGAGAGAGGAAGACCAGTGTGAAGCCCTGTGGAAATCATGTGGCATATGATTATCGTATCCTGTCATCCTGATTGTTTTGCTGTTGTTTTACGGGCGAAGCACTGAAGCTCCCTCTCCCGACTCGCTGCAGGCCGACCCCGACGAAGGCTTTTGGATCGAGCAAAAGAGCACCACCCGCAAGGCGGGGCAGCGCTGCTTTAAAGGGGTAGCCCCCTCCCGTAGTTTCCTTTAGGTCGACACTAAACCCCTAAACCCTTAAACCCCTTAACCCTAAACCCCTAAACCCTAAACCCCTAAACCCCTAAACCCCTAAGCCCCTAAACCCTAAAGCCGTTGACTACTTGGAGGATCATGGGACTTAGTAAGTAGGATTATAAGTACCCTAATTGGGGCTCTGAGTAATTATAGGTATAGTTAGCCTAATTATAGCCCTAGTTAGTAAGTCCCGTGACCCTTTAAGTAGCCAGGCCCCACCAGGCTTAAACCTCTGAACCCTAAACCCCTAAACCCTTAAACCTTAAACCCCTTAACCCTAAACCCCTAAACCCTAAACCCCTAACCCCTAAGCCCCTAAACCCTAAAGCCGTTGACTACTTGGAGGATCATGGGACTTAGTAAGTAGGATTATAAGTACCCTAGTTGGGGCTCTAAGTAATTATAGGTATAGTTAGCGTAATTATAGCCCTAGTTACTAAGTCCCATGACCCTAAACCCCAAACCCCTAAACCCTTAAACCCTAAACCCCTGAACCCTAAACCCCTAAATCCTAAACCCCCACTATAGATCCCTGTTTAAGGAGCCCTAAAGATCCCTTTAAGGGCGTTGACTAGCCAGGCCCTACCAGGCTCCTTGTGTGACCATGCCAGGGGGAACTTCGCCAGCTCCAGCCAGCTGCTGCTGCCGCATCATCACGAACCTCCTTTTCCAGGACCCCCCAAGGGCCCTTTAATGGAGCCCTTATGGCCCTCAAGAGTGGGTATTTGGGGTATAGTTGGGGGGGTCTATCATCACTTGGATCTAGGGGTTTGGGCGGGGTTGAGGGCCAACCTCCTTTCCGGGGGGTTGGCTCCGGGTGTCGAGCGCTTCAGGGTTTTTGGGGTGTAGGGGTGTTGAGGGTTTTAGCGCTTCGGTGTTTCGGGGTTAGGGTGCTGGGGCTTTCTGTGGCATAATTATGCGGATCTGCAGATCGGTGGTGTGCAGGTTTCACAGCCCTTTAAGATTGATACTTATATGAAAAGACTGATCCTAAGCATGCCAAAGTTAAGAGGTAGCGGTGGTGTCAAGGTCGTGGCAATTAGTATAGTAGCAGTACCCCCTCATAGTCCCGATAAATTGGATATGCCAAGATACACACCCAAAGCCTTGAAAACCCATGTATCAAGTATCCCGTGGTCCCAAAACCAAACCCTAAACCCCAGGACCTAAAGCCCCTAAACGCCAAACACTGCAAACAAAACCCCAGCAATCAAAGTTGCATAACTACTATCCGAAACCTAAGTAGGATCCTTTCACCCACCTTCGGGAAAACCCTGAACCCAAGGTGGCCTGAAGGCGCAGAAGGCGCCGAGGGTCGTCAGGCCGACCCAGAGAAACCGAGTCAGCTGCAGGACCATCATGTTGCCACCCTCACCCAGACCCACGGGAGGATCCAAAAAGTAGATCCCTTAATGGGGGTTCCTATAAAGTACCCTTGGTAGTATAGGGCCCCAAATTAGGGGCTCTACTTTCCAGATCCTCCCGGGGGTCTGGGCACTGATGCACGGTTTAGGTTCATGGTTCAGGGATTGATATTTAAGCGTCATGTCGGGATTCTAACCCCAAAATCCCAAACCCTACCGTCAAATGTTATGACATACCTGGAGGATTTAAGGCCGAGGGCTTTAGCAATAGAAGCCCCCAGTCGAAGTACGATTCTGCTTCACTCCGTCGGTTTAGGGTTTAGGGGTTTAGGCGTTTAGGGTTTAGGGATTTAGGGGTTTAGGGTTTAGGAATTTAGGGTTTAGGGGTTTCGGCGTTTAGGGCTTTAGGGTTATCCTTGCTGTTGGAAAACGGTGCTTTCTTCGGCCACGGTGTCTCTGTCGTCTCTGAAGCTTCGGAAGAAGACTGGCAGCAGGACCGCGGGAGCCGTGGTGACGACTTCACCACCAATGCCGATCATGAACCTGAGACTTCGTGGCTTTGTTTAGGTACCGTTATACTACATGGGATCGACAAGGGCACTGCAGCAGAATATGGCGGCCTTCATAATTCGAATAGGGTTTGGGGTTTCAATAACTCCCATCATGATCGTGAGACTGTGGTCCTATCTTTGCTTCACTAAGCCTTGGGGTTCAGATGGGTTTAGGACTGAGCCGTAACTACCAACACTACCAACACTACCAACAACACCATCACCATCACCATCACCATCATGATCGTCATGGTCATCGTCTTCATCAGCATAATTATAGTTGTATTCATTTCTGCTTCTTCATCATCACCACCATGACCACCATCACCATCATCACCATCATCATCGTCATGGTCATCGTCTTCATCTTAATAATTATAGTTGTATTCATTTATTCTTCTTCTTCATCCCCACGAACCCCCCTTTCACAAAACATCTCAAACCCCAGCGCAAGACTTGAACCTCCCTTCACAAAACTCAACAACAAACCAACAAAAAACTTACAACCCCCCCCCCAAAAAAAAAAAACAAAATGAGCGAAAGAAAGGGAGCTGTAAAAAAAAACACACCCACACACACACACGCACAAAATGAGCGAAAGAAAGGGAGCGGGTAGTCCAGGATCTTTGAGTTCATCGCCATGTTCAGAGGCCCGACCGGGCAAGGCGAGGGCACCTGGAGGGAAGGGGTCTCTGAAGCTCTACCCTGGATCCCAAAAGTATGTAGAACCATAGGTTATCGCCCAGTCTTTCTGTCTTTCGGTCTCTGAAGCCCCGAATGATGGTTTAGGGTTTAGGGTTTAGGGGACCCTAAAAGTATGTAGAATACTAGCCTTTTCTAGGGTTTAGGGTTTAGGGTTTCCTGGACCCCAAAGATATGCAGAATAGGTTTAGGGCCATGATTTTACCTCCTTTCGAGGGTCCAGGTAAAGGTTTAGAGTAGAAGCCCCAAAGTTGGAAACCCAATAGCCTCAATCCTTACAAGTCATGTATAGGGAATCCCAGCACTAATTGTCCTTAATCCGGTTTCCAACTTTTTTGGGGTTTACTGAAGGGTGACGGGTTGGTCTGTTAAGGTTTAGGGTTTACTATACTGAACTTAGAACCCGAGCAAAAATCAAAATTTTAGCTGTTTCTTTGGGATGATAATAACCAAAAATTACAAATCATTTCTAAATACCCCTAAGTTTAGGGTCTGGAAAGCTTTAACGGGCCATTGGTATTTAGCGGTAGAGGTTCTGTGTTTTGCTATTTTGTCGGGCTTGGGCATTAAATTCCTAAACCAGACAACAAAAAAACAAAACGCAGAACTTTAATTCTGTATGGGCTGGTATAGCCATACTTAACATGGGGTTTTGGGTGTACTGTGGCGTATATTACAGCATAACTCGTGTGTGACTGTGATAGGGGATCCTAAGGAACGGTGTTGCAAATTATTCAAGCCCCTATCTCAGTGGGGGGGATCTACAAAGGGTTGTACAAAGGTTTGCAGCATGGGTGGCATGACACGTTCAGGATCTGTGGTTGTAGAGGTTGAAAACGCTTTGGGGCTTCAGGGATTGCAGTTTGGCTTCAAGGTCACATGTTTGGTTGGAATCAAGGGCTTAGGGTTTACATGGCTTGGGGGACATGGCCCACTGTTTCTGTGGGGTCTGTGGGGGTAGCTGAGGTTTTCATAGACCCCGGATCCTCAATACATGATTTTGGGGTCCTTGTAATAAGGAGCCTACTATTTAGGATACTACATTGAGGCTCCCCCATTCTTTTAGTTACATGGGAGTTTCCGAAAACAGGGGACCCTTATGTAGTACCCTGCATAGTAGGATCCTTATTATAAGGACCCCCAAATAAGGTACCCCTAAAATTTCGGAAGCTCCCGCATTTTGTTGAACCCGAAGCCGGACACAAACAAAGTTTCCAACTGCCCCGGCGTTCGGCATGGTATCCTGGCAGCAGCACGGCGCGCAGCAGCGTGAGGAAATCATGATGATCCAAAGCACGAAAACCTGGGAAGGATTGTGAGCTCGTTTGGGTTTGTGGTTTGGGCACGCCCCCCATCGAGTCCCCAGAAAGCCTTCAATGCTTTCGGTTTGCGATTGCATGTCTCTTACGAGTACTCGAACACCGCAATTAGCAACATGACACTGCTTGACACACAAAAAACGGTGATCAACAAGGGCGATCATAATGTTCCTGTCGCTGCCGTTTGCGGATCTTAGAGCCTCAGTAATTACCTATACTGTGTCGGGGGTTCTTTTTTTATATTCAGTATAACATACCCCCAAACCCTCTTGTAATTATAAGGCCCCGTATATTATTCCTGCCCCTGCGATGCGAACACATCAGCTTCCTCCAGAGCGCCGCATCGAGCCGGCGAAGCCCTGGAGTTTCGCAGAACACGGGAGCCGAACATGAACCCTAACCTTTAAGGATTCCTGTAAAGGCTTCCTTTAAAGGGTTCTATAAGGGATCCATAATAGGGTTCTATTATATAGCTCCTTTGAAGGGGTTATCTAATATGGCTTCGGACCCCTTTAACGGGATCTATGCGGTTTAGGGCTTTAGGGTTTTCAGGGTTAAAAGATGGTCTGGGGGTTTAGCGGTTTAGGCTTATACTAGGATGCCCAGCGACCTAGGAATAAAAAGGGCTCCGTTTTTGGTATTGGGTGACTTTATAAGGACCCTAGGACTACAAAAAGGGAATAAGGGTACTACTGGGCATCCTAATCACTAACTACAAGGCGTTTTGCTATCACGACTTCGGGTTTAGGGTTTGGGGTTTAAAAATTTAAAAGACCCTTAACTGAAAACTCCCTAAACCCTAAACCTTGCACCACCCGAAATCTGAAGAGAAACGCTACTTGGAGGTTCATGGGTAGTTATAAGCGGGGTTATAAGTAGGGTGTCTTATAGTTATAAGCGCTGTTAGGGGACTTAGAACCCTACTTATAACTACCCATGAACCTCCGAGTACACAATGAATCCAGGTAGCCCCGAGGAGCATCAGGCTGACCAAAGGGCGGACCCCCGTCCCTTCCTGGTCGCTTGTCAACGAACTTATGTGGTAGCTTCCCAAATAGGGGACCCTAATATAGTGCCCGAAATAGTAGGATCCTTATTACAAGGACCCCAAAATAAGGTACCCCTAATTTTCGGAAACTCCCATTGCAAGCAACCATAGTAGGCATCTAGAACCCGTCATTTCAAGTTACCATAATAGCCACCTATCGTGCAAAATTCCCATAAGAAGCATTCCATTCCCATTCCGGCTCCGCGAACGGATCCACTGAGGTCGATAAGACTAAGAAGCATGTTTAATACATAATTTGGTGTTATGATTATAGAATTTTAAAAAGGAGCTCTTAAACATCAATCGAGCTTCAAGACCCCCGGCGAAGACTTGTACCACGGCCGCTGCTACAGAGGTCAGGATGTAGACGATGGCTGCCATGACCTTTCTGGCTGGTGGTTCTGCAAGCTAGGACGCTCTTACCCTAGGGATCTAAGGACTCATATATGAAGGATATTGGGCCCAAAGACCATAATATGCAAGGCTGTTGGGCTATTTTGATCCCTGGGGTTAAATTTTGGATGTCCGTGTATTAAGGATTCAACTTTATGGTGTTCGTTGCCGGTCCCTCGTTCTCTCCACCTTAATCGTTGGGTTATCGACAGTCGAAGGCAGACTTTCGACAGCTAGGGGACCTAGAATCCTATACAGGGAACTCCAGAAAGTTGGAATATGGTTTCAGGGTAGGATACCTTAAAAAAATACCATAAAGGGTTTACGATAATGATATTCCAACTTTCTGGCTTCTACTTTAAAGCCCAAGCAGAGCAGGAGAGCCACAGGGGTGGTTGTCATAATTATGGCTCCTCTTTGGATACCCTAAACAAAACGTGCCGTACTACGTTCGGGATCCAAAAAGGGACCATGATTTTGACAACCACCCACATGTCGTTGGCAGTATTTCCTGCACAACCTTATGGGCATGTCTGACATCAAACGTCACGAAGTACACTCGCTCGAGTGTCCAGTCTCTACTCGCTTCAGGTCCGGCTTCACGGGCCTCTGGCCGCTACTGACCAGAACCCATTTCCTACACTCACGTTTGGTGCTTGTTGCAGTCCGAGATGCTGCCATATTCAACTCAGCAGCTCGCAGAAACGAAAACGTCCTTTCGAACAGCCCAGCCCTCTTTGCAAAGAAACTAAACTACAGCCACACCTGTAGCCCCAATCCCGAAACCGCTAAACCTGCAAGCATTCAAGTAGCATAGATCAGCTGCATGTTGGCGCTGGAGCCGAGGTCATCGCAGCAGTTTGCCATGGCGCGTCTCTGCTCGGCAGGAATCCGAGAAGCGAAGCACTCGCTAAACTAAACTCTTAATTAGGGTCCCGTTTCATGGGGGCTCCTTAAAGGGATCTAAAAGGGTTTCTATGGGGTCTCTATGAGGGTGGCACATGGGTAGGTCTCTAAATTGAAATTAGGTTTTGGGTACCCCAAATGTTCCGTGCCGTATAATATTAAGGACCCAAAACAAAACCTACTTCGGTCTAGTACTAGGGTTTAGTCTTAGTGGCTGTCCCAAACTTGATTTACACCCAAACCCAAACCCTAAAAGAAGAGGCTTTATACTCTTTCTGATCGACTCTTGACGAGGGGGTCCCATCGATGGTAGTCCTGGGTTGGCTCTTTTGACTCGAAAGAGCAGCCCTGATACATTGGCCGTAATGCTTCGAATAGGATTTTTGGGGGAGGGCATGGTACAACACATGGTGACCATACTTGAGACCCAGAGAGCGCAATACCCCTTATTTAAGGAATATGGCTTAAATTATATAGGGCTTCATATTATCATTTAAGGTATATTCCTTCATTAAGGGGTATTGGGCTCTCTGGAGAATCATTGCTTGATATTCTTACCCAAGCGTTCTCCAGTCCTGCTCTCTTTGAGCAGACAGGTGCTCCCAGTTGTGTGGTCCGCGGGGTTCAGGGTCTGTCCCCGAAGTCGTCAGCTGCCCGATCATAAAAAGCCAACGCCCTGGAGGCTCAAGCCCGGAACGTTACCAAATCCCAAACCCCTGAACCCTAGAAACTATAAGCCCTAGAAGCCCCTTAAAGCTAACCTCGGACAGTAAGCAGAACAAAGAGTAGGCACAACGTCTTCTGAGGCGGCTACTTCGACAGGTAGCTTCAGGAACACCCGGCTCAATCCCTGAAGTGGCCTAGAGCCCTGTATGCCTCAAAATAAGCTTCAAAAAACCTCCAGCGTAGATATTCAACCAGCCTGGAATGAACACCATAATCCCTCCTGCTGATCTGGGTGGAGGCGGGGGTGGGGCATACAAGCTGTCAAGATGTGGCATGAAGGCTTGTGCATTGGCAGAAACAAACCTGAAAGAGAAAAGGGACACGAGAGGGACAAAACAACAGTGCCACTGAAACTGCAAATCCTGAACCTTCTATGTTTAACAACCGATCACACCAAAAGCCATCCACCACATAAACCCTCAAACAACTCTTGACCCCAAATCTATTCGAGTAGGGTTTTCCAGCATATTAGAACAAGATATAATGGGCCCTACAACGGGATATGATTACCAATGAACTAAACCTGTTCAAACCTCCATATTACCAAACCCCCCCAAACCCCTGAACTCCTAAACCCTAAACTATCATATAAACCCCCTACACCCCAAACCCAAATCCGAAAACCCAAAAAACGTCCCGAGGCCCAGGTATCTCCTCGAGCCAGGCCGGCACATCGCAGGAAAGCTCATGGCGAGACCCCCCGCTCAAGGACACGGCCTGAGCAGGAAGAAACAAAACAGTTGAAACGTAGGCACAGGGAGAAGTAGAAACAGGTTCCTTCAAAGAGTTCTTTTTGGATTGTTGAAGCGGTGTATTCTTTGTACATATGTATGTATGTATGTATGTATGTATGTATGTATACATACATACATATATATATATATATATATATATATATACATACACATACATATTCACATGCATATACATACACATAACATGATACAACATACATAATTCATAATGCATAATACATACAAATACTAATACAGAAACATATGCAGTCATATACCTATACATATACACGTACATACATACATACTTACATACATACATACATACACTAGGGGGCCAACAATGAATAGATCTGGGTTTGGGGGAGGCTATGGAGGCTTAGGCCCTTTAATACCCCTGGTAGGTCTAAGGTTACGAATGAGGGTCGTTTACTAGACCCAAGAGTAACCTATCAACAAATAAGGGTGCCCTCTTTGGTTTAAAGGCGCTTATAAGGGAACCTGAACCCCCCAAAAAAGGAAGGAGGGCCTACTCTAGGTCCTAGTTTACGGTTGTAAGGCTTCGTGTTGAGATCAGGATTGATCAGGCCGATGCGCCAGCTTCTGCCTTTACCCCATAGGCTCCATAGTAGTTCCTTTCGGGGGGTTCATACTTAGCATCCTATAAGGCAACCCAAAAAGGAACTACCATGGAGCCTATGGGTAGTATCTAGCTTGGAGGTTCGTGGGTAGTCATAAGCGGGGTCGCAAGCGGGTAACTATACCTATACACAGTCGGGGAGTTAAAACCCTACTTAGAACTACCCATGAACCTCGAAGAGGGAGTCGAGGGCAAGAACCCTTCCCCATCACAGCCGAATCGCCTTGAAAAAGGCCCTGCTGCCAAGCCTACCAGAACCTACTTGTTGTAGGGCCCCCATGAACTCGTAACTCCGCATGAGGGGTTGTAAAAAAAACCTACAAAACAACAGGTAGGCTAAGATATAACTCCACCAGCTTGAACCCCAGAAAACAAAGACGCCATCCTTCCTGGACCTTTCACCTAGGGGCTGAGTACTGCCACAACTTTCCACACCGGATCTGCAATGAGTTCTGGTTCGGGATGAGGGTGGTCGCGTAAATCCAGGATCCTGTATCAACGAGTTTGACTGCCCCAAAGACTCGATCATCCCCGAAACCCGATACCTTAGGGGCCTTAATAATTTGAATAGGGTTCTGGGCTCCTTACACTCTACTTGTAATAAGGAACCCCAAAAAAGTATTGGTAATTCCTTTCGGCCCCTATATCATGCCCCGATTCCGCCAGGTCAGGCTATTCAAACTTGGGCTGCGGCCACCGTGCAGCACTTCTCCAGGGTTTGCCTTAGCCAAGCATCAGGCGGCCCCAAACCCCCACAGAGAACAACAAAGGGCAACTGCAGCACTACATGCGTGTTTGTTTATGGTTTATTCATACGGTTCTGAGTCTGTAAGAGTGTAGATAGATGTTCGTGAGCTTCAACAGTTTGGAGTGAAGGACCCACGAGTAAACGGTATCTCATGGTTGGGTTGGGGATTTATGCTCAGGCTTTGGGAGTTTACGGATACTGTTTCAAGGAGTCTTGGATTTATACGGCATCGGACGTAAACATGCTCGCTGCGGGCTTTGTAGTTCGCAATTCATGAATGACGTTTACGTACAACGCTTACGAAGCTTCTAAAAGGTGATGTCCGGGGCCATAGAAGGTGCTTCTGTTTTGCCTTATGGAGATCAGTGCTGTGTTCTACCCACAGCGACTAGTTATCAGCCTAGGCCTAAACCCGAAACCCCAAACCCTAAACTATACTGAACTTAGAACCCAAGCAAAAATTACAGTTTTAGCTGTTTCTTAGGGATTATAATAACCAAAAACTAAAAATTATTTCTAAGTACCCCTGAGTCAACCCTTGATCATGGGCATGTGCATTATCAGTCGCTGAGTCTCCATTCCCAACTCAGCACCTTCCTCGAACAAACAGACCTATTAAACGCTGAGGTCGGAAGAGTTGCATATTATCCTACAGCAAATTGTTTTAGAAATGCAATATTATATAACATAACATAATAAACAGTGTTGTGCTATAGTATAATATAATAAGTCCCAAACCCTGTACATAACGAAGTGCAGGCAGCGTGCAGCAAGTGCTCCTCTGCGAGGGCGGACAGGTTGCACTCCTCCAAGAGCACCACCTCAAGCTGCTGAACAACAGGGGCGACAACTTGAACTGTTGAGTCCCAAGTACAGACGTGCGTCTAACCCTCAACCCTATATCTAGACCAACACCAACTTCTTAGATGAACCCCACATAAACTGGGCTTTTAAGTAACCAGATATAAAAAGTATAAACTTCTATTCCATAATGGTTCCTTGAAGAAAAAAGTATTAAAGTATGGTACTCCAAAGCCCAGGAAAGTAACCCCATGTGTCCGGTAAGCTAAGCCGAATAGCTGCTTTTTTGGGGAAGCAGCATTTGTCGAACCCTACACAACTTGATTGAACCCTACATACAGCCCTGTCAAGAATGCAGGAAGAAACATGCCAGTGCTTGAAACTACCCCAAAACTCGAAACACAGTACAACACGACACGATAAGAGCCTTGATAGTACTCCAACACCCCCCAAAGCCTAAAACCTCCAACAACTGCAGGGGACAAACACCCATTCAAACATCCGACAGTTTCATGATGCCAAGCGAACTCGAAAAATAATAGGTTTAGGGCTTAGAATTTAGGGGTGCAAATTAACTATCCTAGCAAACCCCTTAGGGAATAACACTACCCATTCTACCGATCCCTGTCTAACATTACTAATCATTCCGATCCCTGCATTACTCGAAGTCCTAAACCCTATGGCGCCTTTGGTCTATTCCTACTCGTATCTCCAGCGAAGAGGATCAAGCAAGCTGCATGGTTTAGGGGTCAGGATGTACGGGGGAGGGATGATTTCTTTAAGGCTTAACTTAACTATAATGAGTCACGGGTTTCAACCCGAAGCCCAGAGAATCGAGCAGGCCATGTGTGCTGAGGAATGGATAGAGGGATAGTCTAATCGTAGCAACAAAGCAGCCTGTTTAGATCTGAATCCGTCAGCGGCTCAATCGAACGGCTGAGAAAGCCCTGCCCCATACCCTCAACCTCCAAGCCTCATACACCCAACCCAAACCCTAAACCCTCTTATACACTGAACCCTCAAGCCCCAAACCTTATCATACCCTCAACCCCCAAACCGTAAACACCATCCCACAACGACCAAGAAAAGACACATGAATCCCAGGACTGCTGCTGGCTCCGACCACGTGCCCCAGGAAACTTCCATCTGACCAGCATTTAGGAGTTGCAAACACTTTTTTTTCGGGTGTATGGTTCAGGGTTCAGGGTTTTAGTGTGTGTGTGTGTGTGTGTGTGTTTAGGGTTTATGGTTCAGGGTTTAGGGTTTTAGGGTATGGGAGAGGGGGAGTCCATGTACACCAAGACTAGGATCC